CCCGCGCACTGCGCACCCACATTCTAGCCAACGTGGTGAGAACCGGAGTTCTCCCATGCCAGGCTACTATAGGGGCCTTAATAATTAGAACAGGGTTTTGGGGTATGTAATACTATACTGATGTTTTTGGCCACCCCAAAATAGTTTTGATAATATTTATAAGGCCCCTATATTGGGGTTCACCAGCAAGGGTCCAGGTCTCTGCCTCCATTTCCTCCCAGATTTGCTCTCGGTCGAAGCCTCCCAGGTGCGACGTTTGAGCGTACCCGAGGTATCTTCCTTCGCCCTAGGGTTTCAGAGAACCTGAAGCAACGGATCGAGCGTCTCAACGTCAAGCCCACACTAGTTTCCATGAGCCGGTTTGCGAAACTGTGAATGATAGCTACTTCATATCCTACGCGCCCGTATCTCCAGCACCACGCGTCAATGTGTATGGCTTCCGCCAAACCCTAGATCTCGCCCGACGTGGACTAAAACCACACGTCTTTGTATACAAACATAAACAAACATGTGTAGATGAATCCGTGTATGCATGTGTATATGGCCATGTGTATGTGTACCTACATGTACATAAATGTATTGTACACTGCCAGATGCAGTATTTATTCACTCTCCCCTTTCCCGTTCCCGCCATCCACCAGCAGTCGTGGCAGATCCTTCGCATTGCTGCGGAGAGCTTCGGGGCTCTGCACCTTCCGAAAGCCACCACAAAAGAGAACTGGGTAACTATACTTGTAACTACTTATAACCCCAATTAAGGTACAACCTTACTTACTAAGTCCCACGATCCTCCAAGTAGGGTTTGGATGCAGTAAAAACGGTTTTATGGTTGGGGTTTAAACGTTAGGGCACTGCCATCCCTCCAGGGACCAATCTATCCCCTTCTCACGTCAATCAACCTTTTTTGTTGCCTGTAAACAGTAGAGTGGTCTTTCCATTTTATGGTGACGCTCCTTAACACGTAGCAGTCACTGCTTTTCGCTGCATAGTATCCGTCAGTATTCTTGGCTGCCATAAAGGGTTGTGCTCGAACGGTCTTGTGATTGATTCGGCCATTACCTTTATAGTGCTGTCGCTGGTGTTGATGCTGCTACTGTTATGAAGACACACTAGTATAGCTACATATAGTTATAGCATAGCAATTGCCGCATTTACTGTTTAGCCATGAATGATAGATCCTTTCTGAGAACCTTAAACGCACCTTTAGAGTAATCCCGGCCGGAGACCTCTATTACAATGATTGTTCTTGTGCTTCTTCCAAGTACCCAGATGCTTCATTGGGGAGGTGCATCGGGTTCTCTGGGTCCCTAAACCCTAACCCCCCAAAACCTCTAAACCAGCTGGCCAAGGTCACACCTGGCCCTCGTCGAAGAAGAGTTTCACGAAGGACCGCGCGCCCTGGCTCACCAGGACACCGGTTCAGGGTTCTACAGGAGCATAGGGATTTCAATAGGGTTTAGAAAAAGTCAATAAGGGCTCCATAAGGTTGCATTCAAGGCTCTGGATCTGGGAATGAGGAGTTCCTTGTGCCGCCTCCCCATAATGGAGTGTAACATAACTAGTAAGTATGACATAGTACGCACTGTCTGGAGAGTGTACATGTACATTTCTACATACATACAGACAACTTGAGTGCAAGACTCTCTGTTACAGGTTTCCTAAGCCCTAGACTCCGAAGCCTCTTGTCCTGGAGAAGCCTTGTAGAACCTCTAGACAACGTGACGAAGATCCTTGCAAGACCTACACAAACCTGATAACAGCCCATGTGAAACCCCTAAACTAACCCAAACCCTAAACCTAAACCCGAATCCCTATACAAGCGCCATAAAGAAAGACAAAAACACACAACGAGCGGCGCTTGGCCTCCGCTGCCGACTTGGCCTCCGGCGATGTCGGATCCAGGAGCCACTCTGCCCTGTGGCGACATTCACATGATCATGTGCATGTAGTATGTGCATGTACATGTGTGGGTGTGCGTGTGTAAGGTTGTATATACATACATATATATATATACACACATACACATACATAACCAAGTACATACATGCATACACGCATACATATACGCAGCCTATGTATGTATGCATGCATGTCTGTCTATATGCAGAAGGCGTTGTGCATATAAAGAAAGAGAGGGGGAGGGACAAAGATGGAGAGATAGATGGATAGATAGATAGATAGATAAATAAATGGAGAGATTGACAGAAAGATGGATGGAAGGATTGATAGATAGAGCCAGCTGTGATGGCGACACAAGAAGAGGTCTCGTACCGAGCACCCAGCTATCTTGAGCAAATAGTAGTCCAAATGGCAGGTGAAAGAAGGCAGTCTCGCTTCACCCTTATAGGATGGCAGGACCAGCCCAGCCGCTCCAAACCGATCCATCCAACCGTACAGCCCCGCCATTCGTTCACCCGTCCAATCGTTTCAGTCATTGGTTCATAAGTATAGAGAGAGAGAGGGAGTGAACAAAAAAAACAAATAGAAAGAGAAAAGAAAGAGGGGTGTGTGTGTGTGTGGTGCGGTGACAAGATGTGTGTGAACATCTTCGCCCTAATGCAAGTGAAGCACAGTGCATAACAAAGCTCGCTGGCCAACACCCCAAAAGTGCAGAAGCCCCCAAACCAAGAAGCCTTGCACCCTACACCCTAAACCCTCAAACCCTAAACCCTCAAACCCTCAAACCCTTGAACGCTAAACCCTCAAACCCCTAAACCCTCCAACCCTTGAACCCTAAACTTAACCCCTAAACACTGAACCCAAAAGCAGATGAGCCTCGCCTCGCGATGATTTCGGAGACCTTGGCAGCCGCCTTCTCAAGGGCTTCCACGAGGTCGCCTCCCACGGCTCCGGGGGCGCTGGGACACTTTTTGGGGGCCTTGATAATTCGAGTAGGGGTTCCCTGAAAGGGATCCCCAAAAAGGGGTGTAAGGGCCCCATAGAAAAAAGGGGCCTTGATAACTAGAGTGGGGATTTGGGGCCCATTATACTATACTTAGGAATAAGGAACCCCAAAATCGTATAGTTAATTGCTAAGGCCCCTGTTTTGTCCAGGCTTAAGATTGCAGAGACCAGGGGTAGTATCGCTTGCTTCAACCGCGAGATTTCTAAACCCCCTCGACCCGAAAGCAACAAACGGTGCTTAAAGGTCCCCCGAAAGAGCAAAGGCCTGGATAGCTTGACCCAGGTGTGGGTTTATATATATATACACACACAAACGCATAGCTGATTGAACAAATGAACAAGAGTGCATATATATATATATATATATATGTACACGTATATCAACTCAATGACCCCTAAGAATAAGAATGCCAAATTAGACCACTTTCGTGAACACAAAGGCTTCTCGTGCGTGATGATGCTTACGTGGTCCTGGGGGCCCTAATTATCCAGCCATAACACCCGGCATGTTTTCCAACCGCCGCTGCGCACGACACACGTCCTCGTGGACTTTCCACGGAAAGCCTGGCGCATGGAAAGGAAAGCAGCTGCACACTGCCATGCAAAAGTGATGCTCACGGCGCTGCGGTGCAAGAGCAAAAAAGAAGCTCAACGTGATACCATGCCCGAAGCTGATAAAAGCAATCATAAACCACGAACAACCCATTATCTATACCCTTAGCCTTTATAGAAACCTCCCAATGACCTTAAACTTATTGTGCTAGGCCCTGGCGCCGTTTTAGCCTTGGGGGTGAAGTCGCTCGTGACCGCCGTGGTCATGGCCGGCCTGGAGAAACTTTGGTAACGAAAGCCCTACTGAGAACAAAAAGGACCTATATAATATATAGATAATTAGAACAGGGTTCCCTTTTGAAGGTATCATTTAAAGGGGGTCCATAAGGGATGTATTACCTGTACGAATTTCGGTGTTCCTTATCATAACTATAGTATAATGGGCCCAACACCGTAGTCTAATTATCAAGGTCCGTATATTAGTAAGAGGTCTGAACAGGTTGCAGCAAGTAACAGTCTTTCCATAAAGATATACCCAGACCCTGATCTTGCTTGTCAGGGTATGCACCTGCATGCTATCATCCTGTTCCCGCATGTTTCCGCGGATAGGGGAGCACCGGCCTCGAAGGGAGGCATACTCGACATCGCGAAGCTGCACCTTGCAAGGAAGCACTGAGGTGTTTAGGGTTTGCAGGGTTGAAGGGCCACGCTGCAAACCCCTGCCCAAGAAGCCGTTGGCGGTTTTTCTGTGCAGCGGGGGTGGCGGAAAACATGCCGAAAGCAACCGCGAACTAGCCGGCTCCATCCTTGCAAGGACAGCGGCCAGAAGCGCTAGGCGCCGCTCGGCAAGGCTGGTATACATAGAGGCAAGATTACCCCGGCTATGCCAGGTACCTCAGCAGAACCCAAATCGAAGAAAGAGATCTAAAAAGCAGACCTAGCTCAAAATGGGTGGATCGGCATAGCAGGAAACAATGGTCATCGCTTCAAATCCTAAGACTTTGCAACAGAAACCACTCGCATCCAGCGACCCAGATCCGAGGCTAGGACTTGCTGTGCCTGATCTCTGTGCAACTTTAAGAATGCTGAGAGAGCAATCTTTTCAGCTTTACCTGCCAGTGACAGCGAGCACTCTGAACGATGGAAGAATTACCAGAGGCTGACGTGGTCATGCCCCTTGGCATCGGGGGCCTTGAAACTGATCCGGTAGTTCACTGCTTAAACGAGCAACCGTTGGTTCTGCTTCAGCTCTGTGTCACAGACACAAAGGCTCTTCGCCGACATCGAGCAGAGCAGGGAAAAAGTCATGACTTCCGCGAGGGCTTATTCCGACACAGTGTGGCAGCTCTTGGCAGCAGTAGAAGGGTGCGACTGTCTTTCCCTGCACTTCGCAGTACTCAGTGCCTGAGCCCTTTCTGTACCGCAAGCATCCGCAAGCTCTCAGTCGGAAGTTTGCCTAAACCCTTACTCTCCATATACCCTAGAAACCCCCCAGGAGGGTTTGAGCTCAGTCACCTATAAGTCTACTCAGTTTGGCATCAGACTTAGCTGCTCTTGGAGGTCTCCAGGGACTCGTCGATCTTGGACTTGATCTGATCAGTGACCTGAAAGGCACCAAGAGCCAAGAGCAGAAAAATCCCCCCGCGAGCAACAGACCCCAAGCCTTCCAAAACCCTCAGCCTCCAAAGGCCAACGCCTTAAGCTACGCGAACGGCCTTGTACTGGTCGTTCAGCTCCACGACCTTCCAGGCTTGCGATAGAACCGAGCCCTTGCTAAACATTGCAAGGGACAGATGGAGCTCGTCGCGCGTCGTGCGGACTTGAAAAGCTCAACATGGATGTCTTGCGAGTTTATATGAAAACTTGACAATGGCAATTCGACAAATGATGCTGTCAAGCCCGAAGTTACGCTATAGGGTATCTGGGGGAGGGGTGGGGAGTATGGAAGGGTTTTGGCATGCTTTGAAGTCCATTCCTTCAAAGGGTTGCGTACTCTATGAATCCTGTCGAGCCCTGACAAAACCTTATAAACAAACCGTATAAGCTCGGATTGAACCCTCATCAAACACGTGGAACCTTTCCGCCTAAACCCTGAAACACAAGACTAAAGGCCCTGAGCCCCTTGAAACCCTCAGACCTAAACCTTGCTTCTCGCGCCTTGGTCGCCAGCTGGCTCGCGAGGTCCGTGCCGGAAAGGATGAGCGAGCCGAGGGTGTCCTCTGAAACTCTCGCGTGCTCTGTGATTGTTGAAGGCCTCCACACGTACACATGCGTATACTTACATACATGCATGCATGCTTGCATGCTTACTTACTTACCTACTTAATTACACATCTACGTAGCTATACACCTACAAACGTAGTTACGACAGAAACCTTGGCCTACCATACCGTGTCATGCCATGCCATACCAGATCCCACCCCACCGCAGCACACCATGCCACCCTGCCACCCTGCCACCGCTACCATGCCCACTACCCGACCCATACCATGCCATAACCTTTGAAGAACTTGTGAGCACCTATAGAAGCCATACTGCGTGTAAACATAAAACCCATCGAAGCCTATGAAATGTATCAGAGACTACCGGCCGGAAACAGTCAGGGATGTCTCTGCCTCCCTTCGTGGGCACCTGAACCCGGAACCAAAAAGAAGCATGTGCTTGAAGGTTCATGGATAGTCATGGATAGTGACGGATAAGGTTTCAAACGCCCCAACTAGGATTACAAACTGACACAAAAGGTCAGAAGTACGAATAAGGCTACTTGCTTAGTACATCTTAGTACCTTCAACCTTCAGGCAAGTATTTTGTAAACTCCGAAAAAAGACCATCATTGAACCGCCCAAATCCCGCGTCCTTGATGCCAACGTCCTTGTCGAAGCCTTGGGGAAGCAGTAGGAACGGGTGAATTGGATTCGGCAAGCGAAGCCTCCCAGAACCGTCGAGGGGCCACAACCGAAAGAACCTCAACACAACTCAAGAAGCCCTCAAAATCCTAAAACCGGAAAACCGAGAAGACACAAACCTAGCTCCAAGGCGCTGTTGATGGCCTCGCCCACGGTGTCCAGGGAGCCCTTCGGGTCTTCAGAATGTTTTAAACACCTATGCCCTATGCCTAAGGATCAGGATTTGGCATGTCAACTTTGCTTGAGGGTATGGGCTTCTTACACGGGTTTCGGGGGTCGTCTGGGGTGTTTTAGGCTTCAGGCACATCAAGTTAGGGGAGCTTCCTCGACAAGCTCCGTCTTGTAACATGTAGCGGCATGCTCTTCTAGGGGCGTGCTGCTGACGGAGCCTTAACCTCAAACCCCAAAACCCCAAACCCGAAGCCCTAAATCCCTAAACCATTGAAGGCCACAGAAGCCTTCACGGAGGAGGTGGTCTCGCTGTCGCCCTTCTCCAGGGCATCGTTCAGGGCCTTTGGAGACGGATCCAGGGTGATGCTAGTGGGTTTAAGGTTGAGGGCCTTTAGGGATCTAGTCCGCGTACCCGCTTCAACTTTCCTGCGGATACCAGTATATAAGTCGCAATGATTACTAAGACTAAGACTGTTCCTTCAGGCTCTTCATCGTAGTTCTAGTGTTGTGGCCCCTGCAGTGTACACCTTGCATGACTACACTATTACTGCACTGACCTACCCTCTTGGTTGAGCATTGAAATTTTGAGCCGTGCATAAGGTCATGCATGACTATCCATCAACCGCACCACCTTGCATGTTGGTATCTACTACTACTTTGTGCAATGCACCGGAAGGACCAAGCAAGAACGAACCCGAAAACCCAGAACCACTGAAGTCAAACGCTCTTCATTGGAGCTTCGGTGTTCTTCCTGGAGGCCTCCAAAGCCTCTGCATAACACCAACAATGAATTTTATCCAATCGCATCGGGAATCACTTTTGAATAGTCCTCCCGAAGAATTCTGTCACGTCGAATCAGAAACTGCAAGTTCCCCGCTCCGGGGCGAAGCGATCCCAAGTCTAGCAGAGCCCTGAAACCCGTAAACCTCTTAAGCCCTTCAGTACCCCCTGTCACCACCGGAACTGCGAATATCGCACCGCCACTTACCAAAGCCAGGAAGCAGTGCCGACCTTGCTGGTGACGTCATACTTGGAGTTCCTTGGCGCATGTCGGGGGTTCAGAATAACTAGTTTAATACTCGTAGTATGGTATTCCTGTATAGGTCTTTCTAATTATAGCATGTCAACGCCTCTGGCATGTCATCGTTTTGCGTCATCCGGGTTTCAACGTTACGTGAACCGTGCACCCAAACCGTAAACTGACCATACGCCTCACATCCAATGGCATCTACATGTCTATACACGTGTTCATGCAGAGCGTGAGAAAGAGACACACGCACACAAAGATATTAGAGAAAGACAGAGGAAGCGGGAGACAGAGAGAGAAAAATAGACACAGAGAAAAAGATAAGCAGTAAATCAAGTCGACGTATCTGCCTTCATCTCTGCCCGCTTCTCTCTCTCTCTCTCTCTCTCTCTCTCTCTCTCTCTCTCTCTCTCTCTAACTCATTCATGAGCCTAGGGGTACTTCTCAGCAGGGGTACTTCTCAGCCACTACCGAAGATTTAAGAAGATTGTTGAATTATTTGGAAGATTGTTGAAGAAAAACGAATTATTTGGAAGATTGTTGAAGAAAAATGAATTATTTGGAAGATTATTGAAGAAAAACAAATTATTTGGAAGATTGTGGCAGAAATGCGAATTATGTGAGGGTTTCAATTTGAGGCTTAAACACGGTTTAGGGTTTAGGGCTCATGGTTTAGGCTTCCTGGCACGGCTCGAGGACCTGCCAAAATGGAACACCGAGGTTTAGGGTTTAAAGATTCTAGGTCTAGTATTGGTCAGCTTCGGGGCCCACAAAGTTTAGGGTGCCAACTTCCGAGGTTCAGGGTTTAAAGGTTTAGGGTTTAGGGCTTACGGTTGTTCGGGTCTAAAGGTGTAGGGTTTAGGGTTTAGGGTTTGGGTGAAAACACCCACTTTGTGGGAGTACTAGAGTTGAAAACAAATATGAGTAATCGAGTAGTGAAGTAATAGAGTAATAGAATAATAGAGTAGTAGACTAATAGAGTACTAGAGTATTTGAGTAATAGAGTAATAGAGTAATAGAGTAATAGAATAATAGAGTAATGGAGTAACAGAGTAATAGACTATGTGTGTGGAAAATTGAAACCCTTTGCTATGTTCGCGAAGCGAGGAAATTTTTTTGTTTTTTATGCAAAATTCATGCAAATGCTTTTGGTGCGAGTGTCTGGAGCAAGCCTTGTAGTGTGTGTGGAGTACTAGAGTTGAAAACAAATATGGATGTTCGCGAAGCGAGGAAATTTTTTGGTTTTTTATGCAAAATTCATGCAAATGCTTTTGATGCGAGTGTCTGGAGCAAGCCTTGTAGTGTGTGTGGAGTACTAGAGTTGAAAACAAATATGGATGTTCGCGAAGCGAGGAAATTTTTTGTTTTTTATGCAAAATTCATGCAAATGCTTTTGGTGCGAGTGTCTGGAGCAAGCCTTGTAGTGTGTGTGGAGTACCAGAGTTGAAAACAAATATGGATGTTCGCGAAGCGAGGAAATTTTTTGTTTTTATATGCAAAATTCATGCAAATGCTTTTGGTGTGAGTGTCTGGAGCAAGCCTTGTAATTAGTGTGTGTGGAGTACTAGAGTTGAAAACAAATATGGATGTTCGCGAAGCGAAGAAATTTTTTGTTTTTTATGCAAAATTCATGCAAATGCTTTTGGTGCGAGTGTCTGGAGCAAGCCTTGTAGTGTGTGTGGAGTACTAGAGTCGAAACCAAATATGGATGTTCGCGAAGCGAAGAAATTTTTTGTTTTTTTATGCAAAATTCATGCAAATGCTTTTGATGCGAGTGTCTGGAGCAAGCCTTGTAGTGTGTGTGGAGTACTAGAGTTGAAAACAAATATGGATGTTCGCGAAGCGAGGAAATTTTTTGTTTTTTTATGCAAAATTCATGCAAATGCTTTTGGTGCGAGTGTCTGGAGCAAGCCTTGTAGTGTGTGTGGAGTACTAGAGTTGAAAACAAAATATGGATGTTCGCGAAGCGAAGAAATTTTTTTGTTTTTTATGCAAAATTCATGCAAATGCTTTTGGTGCGAGTGTCTGGAGCAAGCCTTGTAGTGTGTGTGGAGTACCAGAGTTGAAAACAAATATGCATGTTCGCGAAGCGAGGAAATTTTTTGTTTTTATATGCAAAATTCATGCAAATGCTTTTGGTGTGAGTGTCTGGAGCAAGCCTTGTAATTAGTGTGTGTGGAGTACTAGAGTTGAAAACAAATATGGATGTTCGCGAAGCGAAGAAATTTTTGTTTTTTATGCAAAATTCATGCAAATGCTTTTGGCGCGAGTGTCTGGAGCAAGCCTTGTAGTGTGTGTGGAGTACAAGAGTTGAAAACAAATATGGATGTTCCCGAAGCGAGGAAATTTTTTGTTTTTTTTATGCAAAATTCATGCAAATGCTTTTGGTGCGAGTATCTGGAGCAAGCCTTGTAATTAGTGTGTGTGGAGTACTAGAGTCGAAACCAAATATGGATGTTCGCGAAGCGAAGAAATTTTTTGTTTTTTTTTTTTATGCAAAATTCATGCAAATGCTTTTGATGCGAGTGTCTGGAGCAAGCCTTGTAGTGTGTGTGGAGTACTAGAGTTGAAAACAAATATGGATGTTCGCGAAGCGAGGAAATTTTTTTGTTTTTATGCAAAATTCATGCAAATGCTTTTGGTGCGAGTGTCTGGAGCAAGCCTTGTAGTGTGTGTGGAGTACCAGAGTTGAAAACAAATATGGATGTTCGCGAAGCGAGGAAATTTTTTTGTTTTTATATGCAAAATTCATGCAAATGCTTTTGGTGTGAGTGTCTGGAGCAAGCCTTGTAATTAGTGTGTGTGGAGTACTAGAGTTGAAAACAAATATGGATGTTCGCGAAGCGAAGAAATTTTTTGTTTTTATGCAAAATTCATGCAAATGCTTTTGGCGCGAGTGTCTGGAGCAAGCCTTGTAGTGTGTGTGGAGTACTAGAGTTGAAAACAAATATGGATGTTCGCGAAGCGAGGAAATTTTGTGGTTTTTTATGCAAAATTCATGCAAATGCTTTTGGTGCGAGTGTCTGGAGCAAGCCTTGTAGTGTGTGTGGAGTACCAGAGTTGAAAACAAATATGGATGTTCGCGAAGCGAGGAAATTTTTTGTTTTTGTATGCAAAATTCATGCAAATGCTTTTGGTGCGAGTGTCTGGGGCAAGCCTTGTAGTGTGTGTGGAGTACTAGAGTCGAAACCAAATATGGATGTTCGCGAAGCGAAGAAATTTTTTGTTTTTTTATGCAAAATTCATGCAAATGCTTTTGATGCGAGTGTCTGGCGTCTGGAGCAAGCCTTGTAGTGTGTGTGGAGTACTAGAGTTGAAAACAAATATGGATGTTCGCGAAGCGAGGTTTTTTTTTGTTTTTTTATGCAAAATTCATGCAAATGCTTTTGGTGCGAGTGTCTGGAGCAAGCCTTGTAGTCTTCCCTGTTCTACGTAAGACTGCTGCATGTTTTTAAATTATTCTAAATTCTTCTAGATTCTTCGGAATTCTTCAATTTTATTCCAAAATCTTCCGATTTTTGCCTGTCTGTCAAGACATGCCTGGTTCCCAACACCATTTTTTTTCATTTGTACACACACACGGTATCCACCATTTCTTCGTTTTTCTACCTTTTCTACCTTTTCTACCTTTTTCTACCTTTTTCTACCTTTTTCTACCTTTTTCTACTTTTTTCTACCTTTTTCTACCTTTTTCTACCTTTTTCTACCTTTTCTCTACCTTTTTCTACCTTTTTCTACCTTTTTCTACCTTTTATTCGGTTGAGGTTTGTTTTTTTTTCTCTTTTTTTCCCCTTTCTACCGGCATGCTTGGGGGAAGGAAATGCTGCCCGATTTTCAGCCCCTCCCCCCGCCCTCCCCTAGGCCATACGTTTAGGGCCTAGGGTTTAGGGCCTTAGGTTTAGGGCCCAGGGTTTGGGGCCTTAGGTTTAAGGCCTAGGGTTTGGGGCCTTAGGTTTAGTGCCTAGGGTTTAGGGCCTTGCGTTTAGGGCCTTGGGTTTAGGGCCTAGGGTTTAGGGCCTAGGGTTTGGGGCCTTAGGTTTAGGGCCTAGGGTTTAGGGCCTTAGGTTTAGGGCCTAGGGTTTGGGGCCTTAGGTTTAGGGCCTAGGGTTTGGGGCCTTAGGTTTAGTGCCTAGGGTTTAGGGCCTTACGTTTAGGGCCTAGGGTTTAGGGCCTAGGGTTTAGGGCCTAGGGTTTGGGGCCTTAGGTTTAGGGCCTAGGGTTTGGGGCCTTAGGTTTAGGGCCTAGGGTTTAGGGCCTAGGGTTTAGGGCCTTAGGTTTAGGGCCTAGGGTTTAGATGTATGTATATACGTGTGTATGTATGTATGTTTGTATGCATGCATGTATATGTATGTATGTATGTATGTATCTACATGTGTGTGTAGGTGTGCAGGTGTGTATGTTCGTATGTGTAGGTGTTTATGTGTGTGTGTGTCTGTGTGTGTATGCATGTGCTTATGTATGCATGTGCTTATGTATGTATGCATGTATGTATGTATGTATGTACCTATGTATGTACTCATTTACACACACATACAAATGTATACATAATTGCGCATACGTATATACATGCATGTGTATATATATATATAGGTGCGTATATATAGATATATATGAAGATACACAAACATGTCTGTATATATATATATATATGTATGTATACATGTCTGTATCTATATATATTGTTTGTGTATGTATATACATACACATGTATGTATATACGTGTGTTTCTACCTATATGTAATATCTGTAAACAGATATAAATATATGAAGAATCGCCATTAAGGTCATCACCAACCTCGCCATAATTATTAAAACCATCATCATGCTCGTCATAATTATCAAACCACCATCATCGTCTTCATAGCCCTAGTCTTCTTCGTAGAACCCAGATTTTATAATCATCAACATCATCATCACATATCATCATACACATCGCCAACGACATATTCACAATCGTCATCATAATCAGCATCGGCCATCATCAGTCATCGTTGTTATCATCCACATAGAACGTCGTTATAGTCATCATCATAAACATCGAATCATCAATGAGATAGAAGCCAAGAAGCTGGAATAATTACCAGTACTTTTGCTCAGGGCTCAAGGCTCCTTGTTTTTACGGTTACACATCCCGGCGTTCACGGCTTTGAAACATGCGACAATAATCAACAACATGTTGT